ATTGGTGCCCCCCTCTAGACTGGGGAAGAAGGAGGCAGTCAGAATTGTTCTTTCTGGGACAATGGATATCCATGATGCCCCTTAGATTCCTTGGGAACCAGAAATGAAGTCATCACTCTCTCTGTAGGGAGCCTTTGGTTTCTTTCTTAAACATAACTTGAGAAAGATACACTCAGTGTTCCCCAGCGGAATTCTCCAGTATTTCCCAGCCCAGACGGGGGGAAGTTTTCCCTAAGGTCAAACTGCTATCTATTTCCCAGCCCAGTCTTTTCTGAAGTGGGAAAGCTGCCCACCACTGCACACCCAGGTGGGCTCTGAGGTCTCCTGTGGCCTCAACCTCAAGCTCTTTTGTTTTCCTCCTCCCATATCCACCCATCCCTAGCTGATGCTCATGTCTGTTCTCACCTGCCTGTTTGAGTCTCTGAACCACATATTAAGGTGAGTCAGGTCTTCTGCCCTCCCAGGCCCCATCCCCTATGTCTTGATACATTACAGAGGCAGGGGACTCCCTACTATCCCTGCTTTTCTCCTGCAGTCCCCGCAAGACTAAGACAGTTCAAAATTAAATGTCCACTGTTGGCACAATTAATTATAGTAGGGCTATAGCATCTAAACTAGCCATGACATTCATTGGGGTCCCATGGTGGGCATGGTGGTGCCAATGCCTAAAGCATGGGAGGTTGGGCAAGGTGGGGCTTGAGAAAGCAGACTGTCCTGTGCTCAGGAATCCTTTGTTGGGGGTGGTGGTGAATGAGGCAGTCTTTGGAGGGAGAGAGAGGGTCTGCCTCACCCAGGCAGGGACCTAGNGGTGAATGAGGCAGTCTTTGGAGGGAGAGAGAGGGTCTGCCTCACCCAGGCAGGGACCTAGCTAGGTGCTCCTGGCCACGGGGAGTCTCAGGAGCTTGTGTCTACCTTCAGGAAGAACGTGGAGAAGCGCTGGTTGCTGGAGAACATGGACGGAGCCTTCTTGGTGCTGGATGAGATTGTGGATGGCGGGTGAGGAAAGGATGGAGGGAAGAAGGGATGGTCAGGGATGCTCACAGAAAGAGGTGCCTTTGAGGGTCGTCAGCTCTAGACCGCACCTAGCACATTGATGGGCTCTCTGACCANGGTGAATGAGGCAGTCTTTGGAGGGAGAGAGAGGGTCTGCCTCACCCAGGCAGGGACCTAGGTGCTCCTGGCCACGGGGAGTCTCAGGAGCATGTGTCTACCTTCAGGAAGAACGTGGAGAAGCGCTGGTTGCTGGAGAACATGGACGGAGCCTTCTTGGTGCTGGATGAGATTGTGGATGGCGGGTGAGGAGAGGATGGAGGGAAGAAGGGATGGTCAGGGATGCTCACAGAAAGGGGTGCCTTTGAGGGTCGTCAGCTCTAGACCGCACCTAGCACATTGATGGGCTCTCTGACCAACTTCTCCCTCCCTTCCCACAGCATATTCCCAGTGACCCCATTGCCCCATGAGGATGGAGGTTGACTTTTTTTTTTTTAAAAGGATGACCGGTAAGGGGATCTCAACCCTTGGCCTGGTGTTGTCAGCACCACGCTCAGCCAGTGAGCGAACTGGCCATCCCTATATAGGATCCGAACCCGTGGCCTTGGTGTTATCAGCACCGCACTCTCCCAAGTGAGCCATGGGCCGGCCTATGGAGGTTGATTTTAATGTTAGCTAAAGTCAAGCCAAACAAGAGAGTAATCTGATGTCAAACTATGGCAGACAGTTGAATAGGCAGGGTTTGGGGGAAATCCAGTTTGATCCCCAGTGGAAGGACTTCACACAGTGTCCTACTGGCCTCACACCGCCCGCTCTTAGAACTCAACTCCGACACCAGCTGGATGCATGACCTGGGCCAGTTAGCGATTCTTCCCTGAGCCTTACTTTCCCCATCTTTAAAATGGGGATGATGAGGGAACTACCTCATAGGGTTGTGAGCAGTAAATGGGATAATACGTGTGAAGCTTATGGTTCTCATTCAATAAATGTTACCTCCTATTGGTAGCTAGTATATTTTTAGAAAGCTGGGAATCCTTATGAGAAAAGTTGGTTAATGGATTTCCATGGGGGAGGGGGGGCAATATTCAGGGAGAAAAAGAAGTTCTGGCTCTGGGGCAAAGGATAATAGAAACTTCTTGAGTACCTTAAAAACATCTACATGCCTCTTATCATTACATCCATTTCATAGATTAGAAAACAGAGGCTCAGATATTCAAATGACTTGCCTGAGGTCACAAAGCTAGGAAGCAGGAGAGTGAAGATCTAAAACCATGCGCATGGTTCCAGAGATTGTGCTGCATGGCACTGTACCAACCTGCCTGGGGCAAGGGACTCTGGGAGGTGGGGTCCTATGGAATGCCTCCCTCTCCCTATAGAAAGTAACTGCCGGCTACTGCTAGCCTTGTGCTGATTGCTGGGACCCAAAAGTGAGTGGAGTAACACCAGGTTTTGTGGAGCCAGAAGCATAGACAATTTGGTCTTTTGAATGAAAACTTTAGACACATACACACGCAATTGCAAATACAAAATGAGGCGTGGGGCTTCTCAAGGCTTGTGCAAAGGAGGGTGCCTGCAGCTCAGGCTTTATAAGCTTCCGGTCTCGGCCTGAGGTAGGCCCAGTCTCTGCCCTCAGGAGCTCAGTTTCCTGCTGAGGAAAAATGGGCAACACCTGAATTGAGCCTTGCCTGGATGTTCTGTCTTTATGGATTACAGGACCTCTGGGTAGGGAGCCTGGGGGTGGGGGCCCAGCCCAGTGATGGGGCCTGAACAGGCTCCCAGGAAATGTTTATCATTTCCCTTGGTTTGGTAATAAAGAAAAACTAAGCTTCTGCCTTGGAGGAGCCTTTCCAGGTAAGGAGGGACATTCTGTTCCTGTTGCCTCTATCCCACCCACAATGACAGGCCCTCGACTGTGTCCCCTGCGTACCCCACAGACAGCTCCAGAGCACCCCCTATGCCTCATGAACGAGTGCCATGTGTGTGTACCAAAAGGGAAGGTAGATTCTGATTTTTGGAGTTCCATTTTTCTCATGTACGGCATGACCCCGTGGCATAAAATAATAGTGAAGCGAGATAAGAACCCCAGGGGCCTCCCTTCCTTCACTGCATCTGAGTCTTTTCACAGGGAATCCACCCCTAGACCCAGAAGGTGAAGTGAGCTTTGAAGAGCTCTGAGTTTTGTGAGTCCCGGTTTTTGACAGCCTGGGCATTCTCTACTGGACTGCTGCCACCCAATCTCAAAGTTTTTGCCCAGTGATGACCAAATGTGTGGACCATTGGGTTTAAAGTGTCAAAGGGTCAGAGCTGAGGGCCCTCCATGCTGAGGGTGTCCTGACGTGAGGACTGTCCGGGGGAAGGTGCTCCGGAAGGGGAGGTGTTGCAGGATGCATTGAAGGAAGAGGCTCGGCAGGGAGAGGAGGCGGTGGCGGGGAGAATCACATCACTGATTTTCCTCCTGGTTTTTCTCTCATCTTGTAGCGTAATTCTGGAGAGTGACCCCCAGCAAGTGATCCAGAAAGTGAACTTTAGGGTAAGAGTCTTCCTTCATCCCCGCTCATCCCCACCTCCTCCGGGCTGCCCTTCCCAGCCTCCTCGCCTCCTGTCCTCCCTGGGCATGGGGCTGCCAGGCCCAGATGGTAGAAGCCCAGGCTCCTCTGGCAGAAGCCAACCACTGAGTCATTGCACTTGTTAGGGGCTGGGTGGGTGGGCAGCAGTGTGGAGAATGGGGGGATGACAGTTAATAAAAGAGATCTTCCCATCCTCTCCCCCTGCAGGATCCTAAGCACCTCACCTGGTGGGAAGTATAGACTAGGGAAATAAATAAATCCTCAAAGAGACACCAGATGGCTGCCTTGGCCTTAAGGTTGGGGGACAGTGATGTGGCTAGAATCTCCCTGCCTAGTTCCGTTTCTCATGTCTGGATGAAACCTGGCCTCCACCTTAATCTCCTTCACTCCTCACCCTCCATGTTCCAGAGAAGGGTCCCAAGGGCTGCAGGACTTCCACTAAGCAGTGATTCAGGTGCAGTTCTGGATCACTCTAACCACTGCCCCACATCAACTCCCCAAGCCCCTTTCCTCCCCTCTCTGACCCAATACCCTAACCCTGGCCTGACCCCACCCTCTGATTTTGCTTCCCTGCAGGCAGATGACAGCGGCTTCACTGAACAGAGTGTGGCCCAGGTAGGCCCTCCTGCATCCACCTTGGCCAGAAATGGACTGGAGAGATAAGGAGAGCAGAGCATGCTGGGGGACCCAGTGAGGCCGTCAAGGCAGGAGTGCAGGGGGGAAGGTGTAAAGCGGTGACAGGCCATCTCTTGGAGATGCCACTGGAGGCTTCCTGGCTCTTCAGGGTTGGAGGGAGCTGGGTACTAATGGATGGGCATGTTACCACCAGTCCTACTCCTCTCCTGGCTTGGTGTAGTTGAATTGAACCTGGGATGAGCTGCTCACCCTGGAGATGGCTGGGTCACTTGTCCCCCAAAACAATCTGGCTTGAGCCCCTTATGCTCTCCCATCCTGGAAAGAATACCAAATAGGAGTTTGCCTCCAAACCCCATCCTTGCCATTTAGGGTCCACACTGGGATTGTTAAGGGACTCTTAAGCCCATGATAGGATCCAAGTTTCCCTACTCAACACTTGCTACCTTGCCCGAGTGACCTCGCTGAGGAAAAGCCCACCCCTGCATGGTGCTATGTGTGAGGGGGTGGGTGGGGAGGGAGGTTCATGGACTGGTGGCCTGATAGGTTCCTCAGCCGCACAAACTTCTGCTAGTCAAGCTGGCTGTCTTGACCTCTGTTCTGTCAACCCGCAGGTTTCTCTGCTCAGATTAATCCTGCTTTTATGGAGCTTCCTACCCTGGCACTAACTACCTCCTGCTGAGATGGGCCTCTGCCATCCCCTGTGGAGCCCCAGGTGTGGTGGCCACTATCCTGCACTGCCCTTGGTACTCACGCTGCCTTGGCTTCCCCCCTCCAGTGCTCCATGTCTCCTCACACCTGCTGGAATGAAGGCAGCTGCATGGCAAGTTTCAGGGTGGGAAAAGGTTAAGAGCGACGGGCAGAGCAGATAAGAATACTAGCACTCATGCCAGCCACCCCAGGGCACATGTTCCACCTTACCACCTCAAGCTGGGTGACCTAGGGCAGGTCGCTCAACCTCTCTGGGCCTCACATAATAACAGGACCCTCCTCATGGAGTTATTATGAGAATTAGATGACCCAATGCATGGAAAGCTCTTAGCACAGCTCTTAGCTAGTCATAAATGTTCAGTAAATAACCATTACTACTTTCCAAAGGGGGCGAGAATGAAGACATAGCCTTTTTAATGGAATTCTTGAGTAAAAACCAAGGAAGCTGCAGGGATTGAGTGGGAGATAAAATGAGGAGAAAGGAGAAAGTTCTGGCTAGGAGAAGTGGGGGAACCCCAGCCAAGCTGTCCCCAAGAGATGAGGAAGACTGGACAGGAGGAAGGGACATATACTGTGTGGGATCTTCAGAAGGAAATGGAGCTTAATGGCTGGAGGGACGACCTGAAGGACAATCTGGAGTCCCCACTGTGTGGGCATTGTGTGTGCACAGTGGTACAGATGTGTGTAAACTCCAGACTGAGACTGTTTCCCCAGCAGGGTGTGGAAGTGCACACATCTGAGAGCGGGTGGCCCGTGGCGGGGTCTGGATCTGCCCTTTGCTGGCTACGCCACATCAGCAGGGGGTGGGGTGGGTTGTTGAGGACACACTGCCAGCCAAGGCTAAAGCTAGGGGTTTGCTGAGCTATCTGAGCACAGGAAGTGTCAGGCCTGGACATGGCACTGTGGGCGCGGCCACACCCACGGCTGCAGATGCAGGAACCAGAGGGCTGGGCAGGCTTGGGCCCGAGGTGGGAGTTGGCTGCAGCCAGTTTGGCTTGCCCTTTCCTTGCCTTCTTGGCGACCTGTCCCCATCTAATGCAGGCAGAGACAAGCTGCTGCCACCTAGTGGCGTGTGTGTGTGTGTGTGTGTGTGTGTGTGTGTGTGTGTGTGTGTGTGTGTGTGTGCAGGGGCGCTTGTGGAAGGTGGGCTGTCGACTTCCCCCTCATTGCCTGGTAAGGTATTCATTCTCTCAACCT